AAGAGACTTGTTAAAGCTTTGAAGAATTTTGTGAGAAGGGACGAAGGAACAAATGAAAAGAAATCAAGTTCTAGGACATCATTTGAAGGGGCTAAAGATCAAGATTGTTAAAACTAAAAGGAAGGAATATAAAGTTTGTTCACCTGATCCAGGTTAAAATAGATATGTTGTTATCTCTGGTAACCCTTAATGGACTTTTGCTGATCAGGACTGAATGACGAGGCTTTAAGGATTTGTTTATAGGTAAGAGACGGGATATGGGAAGAAGAGATCATTGGCTGTATTTTAAGAGAAGGTGAAAAGTGACTAAAATTGCTTATACCTGTTGTAATGAAGAGGGAAGTCATTTCTTTGTATATTTCTTTTCGTTCTCTTTTCTGCACTTTCTATTTTTCCTTTTTATTCCTTTATTTTTTTTTAGTTTGTACTAGTTCTAACCTTTAATTGCAATGTTTAATAAAATTACTATACCCCCCAAAACCTCAGAGATGGCCCCAACCTTGTCAACTGCAAAGGGAGGCCAGGTGCAAATGAGATGTTATTGAATCAGAGAACATTTTTGCCGAGAGGGTGGTTTTCCTTTCTCTTCCAGCTTACATTCTGTGCAGGTTCGTCACATTAGTGAAATCTAAACCCAGAGGGATGAAACAAATCCAGCCGTGTCTTGAGCTGGAGATAATCTGAGGCATAACTAGAGAATCGCAAACCTACCGAAACATCTGTAAGAGGCCTTACAATCGTAGAGGAGGGGGAAAGGGAGGGGACCGAAGAGATGCCTATCTTCTACTTTTTAATCAACGATCCCGGCATTAATAGATGATTGCTGGCATTTAACAAAGCTCTGAAACTAAGATTTAAATTTATGTTGTTGCGAATAAGCGGCCTTTTTGGGTACAATTTGTTCTGATGAGGCAGTTGAGTGACTCAGCTATGAATAATATGGATGGGGTTGTGGTTCCCCAGCAGAGGAGCAATGGTGTATGAACTACATTCTGAAAATGATTTTGTGGTTCAAAAAGCAAAAAAAGTTGGCACTTTTCACCTTCTGGGTTGGACAAGGCTGACATGGTATCTCAGAGCAGCTGGAAGGAAATATTTTCTCTCTCCCCAGAAATGCCAGAGCTACTCACGGGGGGTGGGGTGGGGGATATTTAGCATGTGTGGTATTCCAAAAGATGCTCTGCACTACGGGAGACGACAATCTTGCTGAACTAGAGTCCAGGAAGGGAAAGGAGCAGCGGGAGAAAAGCCACTGAAAATGCACACCCCTCCCCAGATCTCAAATCTGAGCCCCACAGGAAAAGAAGGGATGGCAGTGAAGCCATGCTAGGAAGGAATTCTCAAGGCTGAAGGTAGCCAAATTTGAAATTCATACTGCAGGCTAATTTTAAATTTTCATAATATATTATCAAACTGAGAACTGAACCTCATGAAATGCAGAAGGAGAGGAGAACCCGTGTAACTAATCAACAGGTGCAATCCCACTTTGAGATTTCTTCTTGCAATTCAAGCTCTCTCATTACCAGAATCTTAGGAGACGTCCATAATCAGAAGCCAGGGCTCTTGCAGAATTCGTAACTATGATTGATGGATTTGCTCAGCCCACTGTTACTCTGTGGAACTATGAGTAATCGGATGACACACTGGGAGGACAATCTCACCAGCTGGCTGGGTGGCAAACATAGGGCTAGTCTTGCTTAGCCCACCAGAGGCCTCTCGGGAGAAGGAGGAGGGGAGGCATACGGATATTGCCAGGATGGGCTAAAGCTTCTGCTTGGCTCCAGCCCAATCTGAAATGCTTGTTTTGCTCGTTAAAATACTTTGCTTGATGCTGAAATGCACCAAATGGGGACCACACAAACACAATGTTGGCATTTGTCAAAGAGAAGGGAAAAAAGACTCTGGTAGGTCTTTAGTCCAGCAAAAAAATAATTCTCCACTGTAGAATTATTGCATCTCCCATCTCAACTTTTATGCCAACTTTCACAAGGTGGCGGGGTCTCAGGGGTATAGTGCAGAGGGAGTAAAAGGGCCAGTTAATCAGGACAGATTCATAGGAGCATCTTCAATGGGTCCAGAGCTGGAGTGGGCTGCCTTCAGACAGAATACCTGCTTTCCACACCTGACTGTAAGTTTTAAGTTTTCTTAAAATAAACAGGTTCAAAATGTAGCAGTGGGGCACTTAGATGATTGTATCACCTGAACTGGGTAATATATTTAACTTGCAGAGTATGTGTTGACAGAGGTTTGGCTTCTGGGCTTACAGAGCTAAAGGTCTGGGGGAACACAAAGATGACTGGAGCCTCTTGCCTTTGCTTGGGAAGCCAAAAGAGCCTTCCAGACCACTCATACTAGGCTAATTACAAGAGCTTCTTTGAAAACATTCTGGGGTCGCCCTCTTCTCTTCATTCCTCCTCTAGCTTCAGAAACGGCCATTTGTTTTCCACATGCTGTTGGGGAACAGATTCACTGCGGTCTCTATTAGGACCACAGACGGTATTTCTAAGTCCCAGTCCAGAAACTGCTACACAGAATTGCTTGCCTGGAGATGCAAGGGCATGGCCGATGTGCTCCTTCAGAGAAAACTTGGTGTGCGCCATTAAATGGCACATTCTTTCAGGGTGGAGGAGGATGCATTTTCTTCCCATTTTCTCTAGATCTTGGCCCTAAATTATACTTTGGCTCTTTCTTCCAGTTTCAACTTTTGTCACATCCATCCTAACCCCATAGACATGGGGACACGGATTTCAGAATATGACGTAAACAGTGAGGATTTACTTCAAAGTTTGTGCAGAAGGTGGAAGGGATACAAAGAAAGCGCTGAACCTAACCATTTAAGAATCTGCTTTCTCCACCTGCCTCTCTGTGGCCTCCAAAGGAGCTGAAGATGGAGAGTGGGATTCTTACCGAGCACCGTAATGGTCATGTAGTATTCTTGTGGGGGGTCCGTGTAGAGCTGGCAGAAGTATCTTCCTTCATCCGAAATTGAGACGTTTGTCAGTGACACTCTGAGCTCGCTGCTCGAGAAATTCACTAACTGAAACCTGCTGTCCTTCAAGGCTGCAGAAGAAAGAGACAATGGGAATCAGCAATGGATGAGGCCAAGAGCACACAGAAAAAATCCACAGCTTGAAGGGGTGGTGCCATTGGTTCTGATGGGCGAAGGCAACTGTTCCCTCTTTCCCACGTTCTGTTATTGGCTACTATTCTACTGCAATTTGGATTTAAGCAGCACTCTTTCTTGCCAATCAAGATAAATAAACACATGCCCTTAACAAGTGCTTGTAATTGCTTCCTCCAGCTTATCCCCCTTCCCACTCTTCTTGTTTTGCACACAAGTTGTAGGAATAGGCTAGTATACTGGCTGCCAACAATGGAGTGCGGGTTCTTTCCTGGCTGGACCATCCAGAGACTGCAAGCAAGACACGGGGAGAGGACAAGAGGTGCGGCATCTAAACCATCAACCCCAGCAAAAGGACCAAGGTGCCAATTCACCAAGAACGCTGATCCAGGCAGCCAAAGGGCGAGAGAAACCTCCTAGCCCTTCCAAATCCTTCCCCCAAGTTACCAGGATGAAAAGGGTTGCTACTGGCATTAAACTCACGTCTGAAGTCTCTGAAATAAATGGTCTGCCTGTTGGGATTCAAGAGCTGAATCACGGAGTCATCGCTGTTCTTGACTCTGCAACTGATGGTGGCAACCTCTCCCTCTACCACAGTCACATCTTCTGTCACCAAGTTCTGCCCATCGCCTTGAGAGGTTAAAGAAAAAGAAAAGCAGATGTCAGCCTTAACAGAGCTGGTTCTTGGCTGGCCTCACCCAGGGAGCAGGGGGTTGGCTTGGGGCCTTGTGTGAACCAGCATTTTAGCAGTTGGTATCCCACGACTGATGCTCAGCACGGGTGCGAAGTCAGAATGTCACAGAGATTCCTGGGAAAGCAGCACATTAACGGTGAATTGAAGACCGGTGCATGGAGTCCCATGGCTAACTAACTGAACCCCTTGCTCATAATATTTCATCTCCACAAAGATTTGTCCCTGACTTGCTGGTTCAGATGGACAGCACTGTCCTACCTTCTTGCTGTTAATCACTCCTGCTGCTCTACCTTGATTCTTCCCCAAACCAAGCCCTGAGAATGAGCGCAGCAAATGAGGTTGTTCTGCCAAGATTCGTCCAAGCTCGTGCTGAAAGTGGCTGGCAGTACAGGCACAATGCAGTAATTATATTCTTCAAAATGTATATTTCCTATCACTTCCTATGCAAACCCATTTCAAAGGGGATGACAAACATCAGAATGAAATCAATCAATCAATCAATCAATCAATCCCACAGATTAAATACATATTCATTAAAGGAGGGGGCAAGGGAGGAGAACAAACCAAAGAAAACCATTTACCCCAGATTTCTCCAGGGAGGGTTTGGGTAAAAAGAGAAATCTAAAATACATCTTTGTAAGTGTGCATGGATTTTGTGGGTGTGTGTGCCAGAGCAGAGCAGCTTGTTGCCCTCGATTTTCACACTTAAGCAGCAACCTGGGCGCAGCAAAACAGGCCCCTTTGAAAGCAGCAAGAACTCCAGCTCTATGAACCGAGCCATTCCAACAAGCCACTCATGGAGGTGCAGCCAAGCACGGATGGAGGGCAAGGCAGCCCAAGGACGGAAATGGAGGCCCTTCTGCAGAACCCTTCGACGCCCGCCACCGCTGGGCCCTCGAGGGTGTTGGCACGATGGGAAAAAGGCCAGGATCTGGGGTAGCTTTCCTTTCAGGAACTGCAGCCTTTGTTTCCTGGGCCTCACTTCTTTTCTGCAGAACGGAGACCTTTCTGGAAATGCGTTTCCCCATCCAATACGTTCCTCTTTATTCCTGGTGTTTATGGAAGGGCCGACTGTGCACTTCCGGCAGAAACAGCCCTGCCTATCAACGGCCTCGCGCGTCGTCCCCTTCCTTCTGGAAAGCCTGCCTCCCCCATTTGGCTGGGAAACGCGGCTGTGGCAATTGCCTGGGGAATCCCAGGAATGTTTAACGCCCCCCTTACGGACGGCATCGCTGCCCCTCCGCTGGATGGCAGGGGGCTGGATGGAGCCAACATCAAGGGACAGCTTTTCAGGGCACCCATCAGCTTCTTTCACCGCAGAGGGGTGGAGAATCCCCGCATCAATTCAGCCGTTTTATCAAGTGCAAAAAGCTGGGAAGTGGTTGGCACCAGGCTGCCTCCATGCCGAAGCCTCTCTCCCCGTCCCCGAAATAAAGCCACCTTCAAGCCATGCCCTGTCCCTGGCTACTTATCTAGATGGGTTTCTCGGCATCCTATGGAGTAGTCCGCCATGGACTTTTTCTGACTGACAGACAGACAGACAGACAGACAGACAGAGGGCCACCCAGCCCACCCCGCAGCCCTGAAACACCCAGGTGCTCCCCCTCCTGCTTAGCTTCTGAGATCAGAGGCGGCCCATGGAGTCCTGCCGCCCAGCTGAGCCCGTGCCAAACCCAGCCTGATTCACGAATCCGAACCAGTGTTGCCCTTTGCTGGCAGCAGGCGGGTGCTGAGCAGTCGAGGGAAAAATCTGCACAAGAGGTTTGCCTAAAAAGCGACCCAGAGGGGCTTCGCTCGATGACACGTTTCCAGACCCTACGTTAAAAAGAGCAGGGGATGCTGCTGAAGTCAAAGGCCCAGAACAAAGGACATCGAGCACTCATCGCCTCTCCTTGGCCAGGCGGCATTTCGCCAAGAGGGGCCAAACTTCCTCCCTGCTCCTTTGGAGAACTGGACTCCGCATCTCAGCTGCGCCTGCCAGGCAAGGGCAGGGAGTCTCCAATTTTGCGGCTTGGCACTCCCCCCAAATGGTAGATGAAATAATGTGGTCTCCCCATGAATAAACCAAATGGCTTCACTAGTATTAGACTGGGGAAAAGAAAGAAACATATCACTTTTCATTATTCCATTTTAATCGAAAAATCACAGGGGTTCTCCAAGTTCGTGGTACTTGCGCAGACAAAAATGAACAAAGGCACTGGGAGTTTGGACGGTGTTCCCACTTGGTCTGCGCACGCCTGAGCAGGTTTAAAAAAACAAGGTCCCCAACCCTCCCACCACCACCAAGTTGCTTGCAGCCCCTGCATTAAAGCAGCACGTGCCGAAAGGCACGAAGAGCTGGCCTCCCAGTTTTGCCACTGCTACGATCCATTGGGAGGCTGCTGCATGGGGCAATCTCCACTGGTGGAAGGTGAAAAGCAAGTCAAGCCACTGGCAAGCCATGTGTAGCCAAGGGCCGCCTCTCCTGCCATGCAGTTTTCTGGATAAAGGAGAAACCTCTTTCTTGACAGAGATGCCAACCAACATGTTGTTGCCCCCGCCCCGTTAAACTATGTTCTAGCCCAGCCCACGGGAGGCCCTGTCCACTAATGAACTAATTGGTTGTTGCTTGTTTCTTTGAGTGGTATCCCACCTTTTGCACAGAAGCTCAAGGAAGCCTACGTTGTGCTCCATCCTCCTACTGCCCCACAACAAGACCCCTGTTGGGATGAGACAGAGCGATTGGTCTAAACTGAGCACTTCTGTGGCTGAGGGTGGACTAGAGCCTGGGTTTCCCCACTCCTGGCCCAGCAACTTAACCACACCCTGGTTCTCAGCTCGTGGGTTTGTTAAATGTGTGGGCATCTGCTCACTTAGAGAAGGGCCAAAAACTAAGTCTCTTTTCTTTTTCCTGTTAGAAATAAAACACCCACAGAATTTCAGGTAGGTTTTACAGAGTCAGCCAAGGAAACCAGGAACATACTTCTGCATACCCATATTTTACCCCAGGAATTCAAAGTTCACTTCTCCACGACAAACATAGGAGCTAACTAGCTAGCTGAAAATTTAAGAAACTGAACAGCCAGCTGCAAAAGTATATCAGGTTAATTCTAGAATGGATTTAGACCCATTGCATGTTTTAACTATTATGGATGTTTTTGTCAATTGTATGCAAAGCACCTTGAGTCTCTGCTGATCTGGAGGTATATAAACAGAATTAACCACAACCATACCCTTTAATCCCCAATTTTATGTTATGGATTGACTGTGGACAGAACCAGAGTTCAGTGCAGCTCAACTGTTGTGAACGGACATTTGCCTGTCTAGCGGGGACATTCCAGCCCAGAACTGCCAAGTGAGCAAAGAGAAGCCCTCCCTTCCTTCTCACAGGACTTTTGGGATGCTCCCCATAGGGGATTAGACTTTTGACGCCTATTAACCACGATGGTTAAGGGTAGAATCCAGCTATGCCAATCAAATTAGATGCTTGTAGAACTCCGCCTCTCTGAAATAATACACAAAGAACCACTTGACCTCAGGAACCTAATACGGGAATGAGGACCATCTCCCACTTGTGAACTTCTGGACAGAACCCGCTGGTCCGTGTTAGCATGCTGGTCTGGAGCTTTGGTTTGATCCCAATGCATTGCAAGTTGTGTGTTGCTAATTGCTCACAAACAAAGAGAAAACAATTTCTTCAGCACAAGCCTGCAGAACCAGCAGTCAAATCTTTCATAATGCTATCAAACCAAAACGAATGACTACTGCAGGGAGAAAAAAAAATCTGCAGGAAACATTCTCCATATTTTTTCATCAACCCAGAGCTCATAGCAAATTAAAGTCATTAAGATTTGATTTCCATCTCAGCCATTATCAGCATATTCTTTTAAACATTTACTTTAAGACAATCCTATCTTTCAATTCATTAAGCTCATTCCCCCATTTACCAAGTTTTATATCAAATCACAATCCTATATGAATTAATAAGAAATAGGGGGGAAACTAATTTAGAAATAGATAATCTGAGGTTCAAACCAGTGAAGCTGTTGATTAAGAAATGCTGTACGCTGGAAATGGCCAAAGGATTTCTAGGGCAACAGAAGATGCAAATCAATTTCAGACAGCAGTTTTTGTACACACAAATGTTCTTCTCATATATACACCACCCTCAAATATTTACCAGGATTACAGTGTGGACTGTTCCCATGATACCTGTGGTGCTCAAACTTCATTGGAAGCATCATATTGGGATCTTCAGAGACTGTTTCCTGCCAGGTCTCTAAACAACAACCCCTTGGAGGAGATGGAGGGAGATGGCCTCCATTAGGCTACTAGGGGAGGCATCTGCATAGCTCCCCATATCATTTTACTTGCAGAAGGCTTCCTCCTCTTAGATCACTTAGGACAGACAGATGATACAAGCTGGGAACTCCAAGCATTCTGGGCATCCATGCATATCCACTGGGAAGCGGGCTTCCTCAGCTCTCAACACCAGGTGGACCAAATATCCAAAGCCACTCAGTCTTGCTAGGGCTGACCCTGAGCTATTCCTCCCCTTCCAGCCCCCAGTTGCTTCCAGGTACTAGGGAAGATCTTGACAGCATTGCTTGGTTGGCCAAGGGTCAAGATGTACAATTGAGTCCCATCAGTTGTAATGGTATGTGGGAATGACCTCGGGGAACAGGTAGAAGTGCCACAGACTAGGCAATGGTCAGACAAGTGGCAGCTGAGCCCGCAGAAGGAACATGGGCATGGTGAACATCTCAGAAGGGACCATCCCTACTTTCTTGGACTGTAAAGGCAGTGGGGGGTGGGTGGGAAATATGTACTTTCAGACATGCAAGATCCTGTTAATGTAACCTTATAATAAAATTAGAATTAGGAAGCGGACTTCCTTGGGGCTTTCTAGTTCAAAAGGGGTATTGGAACTAGGATATTAGGCAGAAGCCCCACTGGC